CACATATTTTGTCTTATATCGTCAACGCAGCAGAGATGCGTGAGGCGTCTCGGGGAGTTTCCTGAAGTCAGTGGTCGATATTACCCATAGGGTTGTTTCGCGAAATGTCTTTACAGTTCTCGTAAACCATCTGCTGCCATCTGGGAAAGTATTCCGCCACTTTCATTATTACTTTGAACGCAAGTGATTCTTTATTCGCCAAACAGGAATATCGAAACACGATACTACCTTGCCTTTTAGTAAGTACACCTTCAGGTAGCCCGCTTCCCTCATACTCTTTCTCAAACTTGCAATAGCTTTTTTTTTTATTGGATCTGGTATAACACAGAAGCGAGGGGATGGCTTGGTCGACAACAGAACTAAACAAGTGCAATCGGGGAAGTGTGTTGCTCACTGAAAAAGAAGCTTGATCCGTTCATATTTGTCTTTGGAGACACCCCGGCGCATTTTCTGGACTATTTTCTCCTCGAGCGCCGACTTACCTTATTTGTAAATGAAGACGGGTGTGCACAAAACTCAAGCATACTTCGTTTCACATTACGTCCGGCTACAAGCAACTCTACAATCTGATGAAGCTAATCTCTGCATACGAATTCGACGTTGATCCTACGAAATTAAAATTAAAAAAACGGTAGAAACGTGTTTTTTTTTAATTGAAAGGTGCTTAACTTTTACACATTTTGCACAGCTGACCTGATTCTGTTTTCAACAGCGAGCACGAAAGGCTGACCCATATATCTCACGTACCCTCCTACACTGCGAGTGATTTTATAAAATGAAAACTCTTCAACTTAACTCCCATGTTACAGAGCACGAAAGGAGACGCAATTTTTACAGGCACACAAAAAGGCGACCTTTTTTGTGTGCCTGTGAAAATTGTTTCAGTTTTTGTGTGGTGTAACATCAGAGATATGAACAGCTAACACGCCCAAATTTCAATCTTAGAGTGCTTCAAGTTATTTTTAGAAGAGTTTTTTAATATTTAGTTTTAGCACTTCACCAGAAATAGATTAATGACCAGCCATTTTTCTCAGGATTTAGAAGAAAAAAAACGCTGAGACTTTCTGTAAGCTCATACAAATTTAGCTATACCAGTGAACACACAGATGAACAGACAGATAAAAACAGGATAACAGACGAACAGAAACCTTATATGCGTTCAAGGTTGGTAGGAATACAGGTCCCTTAATGTCAATATTTTAAGTAACATAAAAGGTGAGAAATACCCCTTTGGGAATTTCGTAAATCGAAAAGCGGTGAAATTAACCCAAATGTATTACTAGAGTAAGCAAACTATCTGTACAAAGTTTCGACATATTTTCTTACCAATAACTTCAAGCTGCAAAAGGTTTGCCAACTGGCCAGCGATGGACAGGCCCTACAGGTTTTGCAGCGTCCGTTTCATAACAAACCTTTTCATGTTAACCCTATGTAGAAAGGACGTAGATATATGTTTCATTCAGAATAAACACGTTCGATGAAAAAACACGCTCATTGTGTTCAGAATTGTAGTTAACCACTCAAAGGCAAATAAATCAATATCATACTCTTGCTAATAAAGATTTCGCAACGTAAGCATCACAATCAAACAAAAATAAAAATTCAAATATATATTTCATTTGTTTTCTCTTTTTTTTGTGGTAGATATCGCCAGAAACTGCGCTCAAAAAGTCAAAGGAAAGTCGATTCAATTTAAGCTGCAATGGGATGACGCTCAAGAAGAGAGAACAATTTTAGGAGCAGTCAAAAAGCTTGGCTGTTCTCTATCTGCGATGCCTTGAATAGTTCACTTTGTTTCTTCGCCTAAATTGTTTGCATAGTTTCTTAAATAGTGACTCGTTATGTTGATGCAATCTTGTTTGTTGGTAGGTCTCTTGAACCGTGTCGCTACGATGTTTATTATTTCGTTGAGCTGCTGCATATCCAAGAAAATGAACATGATATTGACTGCTTGAACAAAATAAAATTGAACTTACAATGATCTTTTTGAAATACCAGACGAACACAGAATCTGCCTTGCGCGCATTAAGTGTGCGTTGAAATTTGCAATGCTTGGTTGCGGAGACATTTGGCTGGTTTCGAGGATGTGCCGCACACAAATATAGGACAGAACATTTTTAACCGTCCCCCCCCCCTCCCCCAAATACGAAATGTTCCCGAAAAACATTTTGTGTGGTTCTCATCGCAATATTCGCCTGCATATCGCTAGATGCTCGGTCTTTGCCCAAATGTACCTCTGGTGGTCCGGATTAGTTACCAATGTTTCAGAATAAATCGCATCTGATTAAAATGTTACAAGTCATTTCCAAACATTTTCATTTTGGAAAATAGTGGCTAACGGAGCCCACGAGTGCATAAGGCTTAATGGCGCAAACTACAAGGAACGGGCTCCGTTCTCTATTGAAAGGCTAAAACAATAGCTTAATTTTGTAATAAGATAGGTTTTTTTTTCTTTAAGCGCTCGAGCTTCAGGGCTTTAGGGCTCTCTGGGCTTTAGGTGCTACTAAAACTGGGTGATTTAAGGGTTTATCTTGACGCTTAGCAAGGAAACTTTAAGTGACTATTTTATTAGCTAGAACGTTAGTTCCCAATCCCTTACTGGGGCGAGGAGGTGGGGGGGGGGGAAGTCGCTCGGCGGGCCGCCCCCTAGACGGCTCCTGTGGCAAACGCTAAACGCGCTCATGTTCTCCAGGTTCATCGGTTGCTCAAGGCAAGTTTTGATTTATTCGGGAGTGCACTGCCTCACTGCCTAATAAGAAGCTCTTTATGAGTTCTGATTCTTTCGAGGGTGCGCGTAGGGACATGAGTCTACGTGGGGAGGTATGTTTCTTTATTCGGGAGCCAGTTATGCGTGCCGTGTCGCCCGTGGACTGTGCTTCATTAAGCACTTGGGTCTCAACGATCGTAAGCTAACCAAGTATTTTGGACCAAGAACTTCGCCCTTCACATTCGCCTGTGGACCAGGTATGGTGGACCTTGTGTGACTTGTCGCCGAAGTTCAACTGAGAACTAAGTATGCGATGTATGACCAGCCACCGACGTCGCTTGCGGACTATATATAGTATGCTAATACGTTTGCCTTGCCGCCGACTGCAGTTGCAGATTACGGTATGCCGGACTAAGTATGGCTCTCCCGCCGTTCGCCTGCGGTCTAAGTATACCTTACTAAGTTTGATTCAGCACCGACAGTCCCCTACGGACGAAGTACATATGCCGCACTATGTAGGACTTTGTCAATAATAGTCGCCTGCAGAATGAGAATGCTGGACTGATTATGACTCGCCGGTGATTGCGGACTAGTTATAAATAATGAGCCATTCCACTCTGTGAAGGTGGATAAGCAGCGAAGCTGTTCAGCACACGACACAGACGTGACACAAAATGTTGAACTAAGGTATGGACACATTTAGTGCCTTGATCGGTGGTCATCGTGACGGAAGGTAAACGCACAGATATCGCGGAGTATCGCCGCCGCGAGGAGGCGGAGGAAACTAGACACGCGCGACGGGACCGCCACCCCGGGGAAGGAAAGGAAACTAGGCACACAAGCGGCTTGGAACGATGACAAAGAGAGTGCTGTGGTAGCGTAGACAGGGCCTGAGTTTTTGTTGACGCACACGAAAAATGCACGGAACCCTAGGCATAAAGAGCTTCGCTGCAACATGACTCACCCCCGATCGTCACCTGAGCACTAAGTATGCTGAACTAAGTATCACTCGCCGCTAATAGTGGCGTGCTACCACAGGCGACCGCCGGCAGCAGGTCATACTGAGTCTAGTTTCCTTCGATCTCTTCCCCCTTCTCCTTGCCGAGCAAAGACGTCGGACTGTGCACCGTATGGTCCGAGGTTTGATCCCGATTAGCCCATTGGTGGCGCATCTTGCTGATTGCAATCAATTGCTGCTAGTTATAATCGTGAATGAATTATTACGATTAAGTATGCCTTCTATATGATTTAGATGACTATGGCTTGGCTGCTATAGACTATGCATGCCTCATCTTGCCTGCTCCTGCGTGTAACGCTTTTTTCGTCACACTCGAGCGTTACTCTTTTCGCATGAAGTCCCGCCCATATACTCATTCCGAGTTAAAACATTAAAGTTTCCTACACTTTTCTTCTGAAATCCTCCATATAATTGCACTCTACATCTAAGCGCGTTTCTTCTCAGATAGTTGCCCGTATGCGCATAAATGTTTGAAGGTGGAGAGTTCTATAATTATTATGATCTTACCGCATCAGCGTACTATTTACGCCGCCCATCGCAGAGAAATCGGAGTGTCTAGGATGCCACTTTAGTCAATAAGTTTTGCATTTAGTGATGAAATGTCTTTCTTCGAGCAAGAAAGAATGAAGAAAAAAGTTTAATATACACACGCGGACCTATCTTGACATTTTAATTCGACTGACAAAATATACAGTACCATGTGAAAAACTGCCCTTTTTAAGTAAGCTCATGAAACGCTAGGTTTTTATGCGGAAAATGATGCGAAAAGCGTGCTAGTGATGGTCAGGATATCCAAAAGAAAAAATAAGTGAACGTGTTGACCCCTTGCTTGTTTATTGTTTCTACATGCCCTGTGTTTTACAAAGTACGCTAAAAAACGTTTGGGGGTATTCTTACCAGATGAAAATTCTAGAATAGTGAAAGGCAGATAATGTGCACATTGTGCTTAGGTTCCTGAATCTTTTTGAAGGCGACAAAGCGGACGCCGCTTTCAGAAACCAGATGTCTGACATATCGCACACCTTGACTACAGGAGACGGCAACAGCTGCAACGGCGTCAGAATGAGTGAAGCTCCGCCTTTCTTCTCAGCTAGCCAATCGGAATGAGTCTCGCCTAAAAAAATTAATTAAAATAATATTTTGTTTTTATTTTACGACTTTTCTTAGTTGTGATTGGTTTGAGCATCTCAGCAAGTGTTTTCGTTAAAGTATAAATACTGGAACCCATTGTCGTCCCAACACATATTGAAATATTGTTTCAGGCTGAATCTCAGAATGTCCTTACAGTCGCTCCTTGCTATTTTCTGTCTTATAATGGGTAGCTACTCTCAAGAGACAGCTACCACGGCTCCACTACCAGAGGAAGATCCGGCAAACTTCGAAAGTCAAGATGCAACAAGGGTTCGTTATTCGCTATTTCATCTCGAGATAAATCTTTTCCAGGTCGCTTTATCACCAATTGTAGTAATATTTCGTGTTTAGAAGCCACTTTTCTTTTTCTTCTCTGATTATTTGTACCACTACTGCTTGAAAAAACTTCGCTACACCCGTACACATCGTGTCTTTAACAAGACGGGATGCTGAAAACTAATTCAGATGTTGTATTCAAGTAGATATTAAGAGAACAATAAAATCTGAAAATGGCAATATTTATTAAACAATATGCGCCGTAAAACAGGAACAAAAAGGAAGGGAGACGACATGAAAACCTATTTTGAACTGAATGTTATTAAAAAAGTACTATTTATATACACTATTAGGTAAAGACAAAGGTGATGTGTGCAAAAAAATTACACTAACCAGTACCTAGAATATGCGATTTCAGACGTCTATGAAATCCTGACGAACTGAGGGAAATAATACGTGGCTCAAACGGGAAGATCCGCTAACGACACGGCACGCGAGCACGAGCAGTCTGTAAAAAAGTATCCCCTAGGTCAACCTCGTTATTCAGTGTGATTGATACTTATGCACCGTGATTCTAGAAAAAGAAGCGATACTTTCCAAGACGTTAAGAAGCAAATTATTGCTAGAAGTGTATGCATCATAAAATATTCATTTTTCGACTGCGGGGGACACTAAATGTATAAGCGTGCCGTCAGATCACCTATCAGATAAGGTATTTTAATTTCTGCGTGAGCTACTTGATAGAATCTACAAGTAGTCGATTATTTTTTAATTAAGCATTTTGACAAAATAGCGCTCCGTGTTGTGTCTCTATATTTTGTCCTTGTTTTACGGCGCATGTAGTTTTATTTATTTATTGTGCTTTATTTCAGTGCCACAGAAACAACTGTACCCATTTTTAGTGGTGCGTTACGTCATCATAATAAGAATCAACATGTCAAGAACGAATTTTCAGATGTCAAAATGAGAGAAACACGTCAATGCATTTTCTAAATGGTTGTTTGCATCCAAAAATATAAACATCAAACTTATCGAAGTTGGATTCGAATTTGTTAAACACCAGTTGTAGACGTGTAAGGGAATCAGTGTCGAGTAAAACGGAAGGATAATTCAATGATCGCACAAAACTTAACCTTGAAAAAAACGAAAAAAGGAAAGCCGTTTACAACTCCCTGTAACGCGGAATTTGAGCGCAGCTCTTGAGGAGGAGGAGGGAAGGGTACTGGGGGGATTAGTTGAACTCGGAAGGAGGGGGTCACGTGACCTCGGGGGTCATGTGACCAGGGAGATTACGTGACCTCGGGGGGGAGGGGTCACGTGACCTGGGGGGTCACGTGACGATGACGTCATCAGTGATGATGACGATGACGATGCGGATGCCGATTACGTCATTGGCATCCACATCGCTATCGTCATCATGACTGATGACGTCATCAGTGACATTACTGATGACGTCATCGGCATCGTCATCGTCACTGATGACGTCATCGTCACGTGACCCCCCAGGTCACGTGACCCCCCCCCCCAGGTCCTCCCGAATGAACCCGAGGTCCTCCCGAAGGAGCCCGAGGCCCTCCCGAGGTCCTCCCGAAGGAACCCGAGATCCTTCCGAGCTCCTCCCGAAGGAACCCAAGGTCCTTCCGAGGTCCTCCCGAAGAAACCCGAGGTGCGTCCGAGGTCCTCCCGAAGGAACCCGAGGTCCTGGGGGGGTCACGTGACGATGACGTCATCAGTGATGATGACGATGACGATGCGGATGCCGATGAAGTCATTGGCATCCGCATCGCCATCGTCTTCGTTACTGATGACGTCATCAGTGACGTCACTGATGACGTCATCAGTGACGTCACTGATGACGTCATCGGCATCCGCATCGTCATCGTCATCATCACTGATGACGTCATCGTCACGTGACCCCCCCCCCCCCCTAGGTCCTCCCGAGGTCTTCCCGAGGCCCGCCCGAAGGAACCCGAGGTCCTTCCGCGGTCCTTCCGAGGTCCTCCCGTAGGAACCCGAGGTCCTCCCGAAGGACCTCGGGTTCCTTCGGGAGGACCTCGGGTTCCTTCGGGAAAATTTACCCATAATGCACCGCGCGGTTACGCCGACGCCGCTCAAGCCGGAAACGGGCGCCTAAGAGCTGCGCTCTAAAAAAATTAAGGGCTCATTTTAAACAATTTTTTTTTATTCCCACGAAAAGAAAAAAAACAGCTGTTTAATATTTATGTTGCTAGACGCAATAAACCCTTTTCACATAGAAACGACACCAAGTGGCTAAAGCTACAACTACGGTTAGCGGATAGAATGACAGCTGCGATACTTTTCCTGCCTTCTCTGCGTCTGATCCGAGTTGCGGATGAGGACGGAGAGGTAGTGCAACCATTCTTCCGGACGCCAACCCAAGTTAGAGCTTTCACCGCTGCGGGAGAAAGGCCTGCGCATGTACACAACACATCTCGAAAAAGATTAATTTAGAAGGAGGTAGCTCGCTCCAGGCCCCGCCCAGGAACTCCATTTTTAGGCTCTCATTGGTTAGAGAGATCATTGACGCGCGGAATGTCGTTGTAAAATTGTTTTTCAATGCCGTAGTTCTCGTTGATTCGACCCTTTTTTATGTTCGATGAACAAATTATACATATAGAGTAAATATCGTTTTCAAAACTATAAAAAACTGTCTGTTTCGTTTTGTTTTTAAACGGTAACGAACATGGCTGCCAGCGTGCAAGTTGTTTCGCGTTCACCGAGGTGTTTAGCGAAAGATTGCCTCAACCGACGTAGTTTCCAGCAAACAACTTTCGCAAGCACCCGCTTTCGGAAGCGATGTGCGGGTGTTTGTTTTCGTAGCGCGACAGGCCTAAACATAGCGCCCCACGCAAACTAATTTCTGGATCTGGCTTGATTTGTTCGTTTGCGGGTTTTGGTGCTCAATAAAAGCATTGTTTACCGTAAACCCGAATCCGCAACTCTGATAATCGTGCAGCTGTCGTGATTGCGACCATGGTTGCGGTACTGAGAGGCAACCTACACACCTAAGCATTTGCGAGCTATTTGGCTGGAAGAAATCAGGTGTTCTTCCTGCGTCAAGTTTGTCAAGGTATGCTTCCGTCCCTTCGCTTCGGAGTGTACTTAGCTCTACAATTTTGAGCAGTTCACCTGGCTTGCTAAAGCGAACATTTTTAAGCCGCAATTTAATTGCTCGTCATGATGCTCACCCACCTTGCTCGCGGACGCTATGCAGAAAAACAAGAACAGGAAAGCTAAAGGACTGCGTATTTTGTTGATTTTTTAGTTCGTGGTCGCTTTTTACCGCACATCGACAGACGCTGGCAGACGCTTGTACTAGATGTGGTTCGTGCATGCTGGAACAGTTCAAGGCCGTTTTATGGTCGCCTATGGCGCAGGAGTCTGGCGATCTTTGCAGATGGATTTAGACGTGAGTGGACTCGCAGGCGGACGCAAGCGACGGCAAATTCTGACGCGCCTCTTTCATGGTCGCGTCTTACTGTGGTTCCTAGGGCGCACCTTTGACTGGTGTGTTAAGCGTCCTATGCTGCCTATACATCAAAAGTTGTCCCGATGTGACAATAAATAACGTAACGGAAGCTACAGTGTCATGCTAGAGAGCCTATATTACAGAGAGTTTCTAACCGCTCGATCGCGGTAACATGGTTTATGGGCCGCGTTTGCAAGACGAGCTGCGAGGTGTTGAAAGCGGTGATTGTCTGCAAACGACTCTGCCTTTCCGCCTAGCAGACGGTGCGGACGGCAGACTAGAACGCACCGGACGTCGCGACATGGAGACATCCGGCTCGCGAGCATGGTTAGCTGAACAGCGAAGCCAATCCAGTTGTAGTGTGGGGGGCACCGAGGTATGAATAAGAGGCGACATACCGGCTCAAGCCAGCCATACTAGAAAATCCCAAGTCAAGCTGGAATAAGAGGTCGCTGACGGTGGAACGCCCCCAAGGTCGCCCGGTTTTACCTGTGTTGTGGTGTGATGTCGGCTCCAAAGCCTTTTTACATCCCTGGTGCGGGACCACCATTCTATGGGCGGGGCCTAGAGCGGGTGGTGAACTCCACCTAACTTGCGCCTTATATCGTGACTGTTACGCAAAAAAGTTTTTTCCACAGAAAATTAAGGCAAAATAATACGTGTCTCATATAAGCCCCTTAATTGCTTGCCATTTCATTTTCTTATTAAACACGTAAATATACACACTTCAGTAGCGCTGTGCAATAAATAATACCACTAACAATATTATGCAAAAAGATGAAACCACTCACCATCCGCCTATTACACAAAGGTTGCAAGCCCAAAAAGTTTACATCTTCGTTTCCAGTCATAAAACAAATTGAATTGCACGTAATGATCACAGAAGAGACAATGTTTTGAACGTGCTCAATACTGCATTAGTTAGTATCTCCATAGCTGTTCCATACAACTGAAGGAAAGTCAATACAGCATATGTGTAATGATACAAAAACACTTAGAGATGAGTTGACGGTATTTGTAACCTGATGATTAAAATCAATTGTATTGTTTAAATAGTATATATACACCCAAATTCATCATCACTGGGAGACAGCTAGTACTGGTATGTGTCTAGAACATAGCAGAATCGCAAAACATCCCATATCCTGCTGTTTAAAAAATCGTGTATCAACTAGCCAATATTTCCATTTTAAAAATATGTAATATATTAACGTTAATAAATGCATTGTGTAAAAGCCTCTCTACACGACGAACAGTACCTTCTTGTAGCATTTTCTGTACATTCGCTGAGAACTAATTCTGCGTTTTGATGCGGATACCTGTATTATTTTCTCTATAATAAAATCTTAGAAAAACAAAGTTCATTCAGGAACGAAACGTGCCTTCCTTAGATAAGTCTTAAAAGCTTTAATTTGTTCGAGAGGAATATCTTTTTTTCTTTCGAGCTTAAGTCTTCTGGTTGTTAACCATATAGAACACAACTAATAAATAGGTGATTTCGGACCCAG